ACGCCGCCAAGAGTCCGCCCCAGACCGCCATTGTACGGACTGCAAGAAACATGGCCAAGGTAAGCACTACAGACCTGCACCCATGTCCAGATATGTGCTGGAACTCGAGATGTTTATTAATCATTGTACGTAGGATTCCATAGACATGTCCCTTCATGTGTGTAGATGTGTTGGCTTGGGATGTTGTTTGTTTATGCGTGTCGTACATAACACCCATTAACATCTACCTGATTCCAAATGTGCTGGCAGACTATTGGTTGTTTATTTATGTTTACCTAAGAAGGTAGCCATGTGAAAAGTCTTTCAGTTATTCGGGATTTTGGTTGTAAGGTATATACTTCGCTTCGCAGACTATTTGTTGTTTATTTATGTTTACCTAAGAAGGTAGCCATGTGCAAAGTCTTTCAGTTATTCGGGCTTTTGGTTGTCAGGTATATACTTCGCTTTGTCCTTATAAATCCTTATAGACGTGAAACTTCAAATGTCCAAATGTACTAGCAGCTGGGGTAGACGTCGTCCAAAGTACACCCTCATAGATGTGAAACTTCATATGGTCGAATATGTTGGCAGTTCATCAGATAAACATGTAGTTTCATATGGCCGACAAACAGTCCTACCACTGTGATGGTCATACAGATGATGTCTACTACAGTAAGAACCTACAAACCTGTTGCTTCAAATGGGCAACTGTTTATAATCTACTGTCCTCATACTGTGCTTGTTTGTTCAAAAGTAATGCCCATGTGGTTTTATCTCGTACTCCCCTTTCCCGGATTACCTATATCTGGACTTATATTATCGTTGTTTCGACCCGAAGTAAGCAGTAATACAACTATCGATTACCACGGGAATTGAGATTGTTGGGGCGGTATTAAACTTTACATATTGCATAAATTATCCCTCAAATAAGTCTTCAGTGGCAAATGTAACAAGACATAAACACTGCTACAATTATATCGTGAACTGGTCTATCTACGTACTGCTGACAAACAATGTATCCAGTAGCATTGATAAGACATGTATATGACATGATAAATCATATATAAAAATCATTCACGACAAAATCGGTATTGAATGGTACTTGATCCATAGGTTTTTGCTAAAGTCACACCCATATACAGAAGGACGAGATTATCACTTGTTTGCATTAGCTGTGTGAATTTCTAACAATATATTCACTGTAGTATTGGGAGTGGTACAAAGTCGGTATTTAATGTTAATTAAACCACAAATGTTTGCTAAAAACACACCCATATTAGGAAGGACAAAAGTACCATTTGTTTGCATCAACTGTGTGAATTTCATCCAACATATTCAATATAATATTGCGAGTAGTACCAATATTGCAACTGTTATTTAGTGTACATATGAACATAACGTGGCGATATTCTTTAATGCAAAATACAGTTACCAGAATGAATGAATGAATGAATAAATGAATGAATTAAAACGAACGAATTGAAATGTTTCTGACGACCCGGTTGACATGGGATTGCAACTTCTAACGTTTCAGTGAAGTGCTTGTATCCTCTCCCTACTACTTTGTCACTTGCTTAATAAAGGAACTATGTCATGTTCTATAATGCCGCATTGAAAGATTAAGGTAGTTGAAATTCAATTGTCAAACCCGTCTTCACTGGTAGAATAGCTATAAGATATCACTTGAAAACTTGAAACTAATATAAAGGCATGACTTTAACACATTTAAAATAATATTGTTAAACAGTTAAAGTGAGGATCCATGTTTCTTTTCTGATGAACACAGCTTCCGGGAATCAGGGACTTAGTATATTGTAGAGGCATTAATTCACACATTCGTCCTTCCCAAACTGACAATCGATAAAGCCATGTCTCACGAACTAGCTGCAAAATATCACATCACTGTGTACAAGCCATTAACACTAAACAATGATAGCATTCTGCTCGGCCCTTCTGGTTTTTGATACAACCACAAGGATTGAAATAACAGAATAAGAAATGAGCTGTCCCATGGAGTTAGAACAGTCTTTTCCTAGTTTAATGTTTTGTCATACTCGGACAAAATGTGAGTCCATCCGAAATTATCATTTCTCGCATGACTTCCTTATTGGGAAGTTTACAACATTCATGGGTTCATCGATATCCAAGAGCTGTGTATAGGTTGTCCTAAGCGGCAGTTGTGCATACGAAATAACGGCCTGCCTGTCAAACATACAGTGACACTTTTCAAGAAAGTGTCGCCATCTAACCTCTGTCATGTAACGTGTCCAACGTTCAGTGCATGCTGTGTAATCACAGGATCTGGTTTTAATTTTGATTTGCATTGGGCCTCAGGAACGTATTGGAATACAAAAATGGGTGAAATTAGTTAATAATTTCTTCTAAACAGGATCGGGGTGGTAGGGGTAACCTAGTACGTGGTGAAAGTGTTTGCTCATCACGCCGAAGACCCGGGTTCTATTCCCCACATGGGTACATAGTGTGAAGCCCATTTCTGGCGCCCCCGCCGCGATATTGCTGGAATATTGCTAAAAGCGGCATAAAACTAAACTCACTCACTGACTCACTCTAAACTGTATCACATCACTATTATGACACGAGATACCCTAATTGTCAAAAGTATCTGTCACTTTTCCTTGTTACAGATGGCTAGTGGTCACAGATATCACCTCCTTGTCCATCGTGAATACATCATAGCGGTGATAGACGCGATCTTGTTGTTATGACTCTCAAAACATGCTTTGTGTTGAGATGCATTTCCCCCATCAGAGATTTACCAGACATCTGCAGTAAAGTTTATTCATACTGGTTCTCTCGTGTATCGATTGTGAATTTACATCTGTTCTTAAACAGCACGTTTCTTTGTGTTAGAGCGTCATTGCGATCATCTGATATTGAGCACTATAAGCTAAATTATTTATCCCCTCTTCAGATTACTCACACATGCATGCTTGGATAATGTTTTGGGAAGTGCATCCGTTTATTATCTGGTATGACCTTTCAATCCCGCTCGTTTTGCCATCTGCTCATCCATTTTACATGGCTTTCGTTCACAACGCAGGGACAAGACAATCCAATCTGCTGGTGTCATACTCTGCGTGGGGTTTCCGGGTCAGAATAGGTCCCAAGCTTGTCCAAGGCGACAATGGATTTGTCAGACTCGATGACTTGGTTGATTGCGTGTCATCTTAAATGGACTGGGTGTCTGCCTCTGACACGAACATTTAACGGCCGCCGTCATGGAGAAGTATTGGTTGGTTTGTTCTTTAACGCCGCACTCAGCAATATTCCAGCTATATTGCGGTCTGTAAATAATCGAGTCTGGAACAGACAATCCAGTGATCAACAGCATGAACATCAATCTACGCGATTGGGATACGATGACATGACATGTGTCTACCAAATCAGCGAGCCTGGCCACCCGATCCCGTTAGTCGCCTCTTACGACACGCATGGGTTACTGAAGACCAATTCTAACCGGACCCTTAACGTGACATTTAGCAGGAACAGAGCTGAGCGCAACTTTAAACACCAAACAACACACCTAGCGTTCTTACCCATATATGATTCTAAATTGTATTAGGAAGTTACAATTGATCGATTGCAAAAATTGCTGATGTGCGTCAGCAATGTGTTTTGGCTATGGCGTCGCCTTGTATTGGCGTCAACGACTGGTAATAGCGTCGTCTTGTATGGACGTCAACGACTGATAATAGTGTCGTCTTGTATGGGCGTCAACAACCGGTAATAGCGTCGTCTCGTATGGACGTCAACGACTGATAATAGCGTCGCCTTGTATTGGCGTCAACGACTGATAATAGTGTCGTGTTGTATGGACGTCAACGACTGATAATAGTGTCGTCTTGTATGGACGTCAACGACTGATAATAGTGTCGTCTTGTATGGGCGTCAACGACCGGTAATAGCGTCGTCTCGTATGGACGTCAACGACTGATAATAGCGTCGTCTTGTATGGACGTCAACGACGACATTATAACTACAGCTAGCAACCACAACTGCAACTGCCTAATACTAGTACGTTAGTGCTACATGTACACAACACATTGACACCATCAGCCGTCTTGACACATGGTCATGAGAGACAGGGTGATAGTGGATCAATGTGTATGCGTACATAACTGCGCAGATAAGGAAATTACATGAACACTTCCGTATATATCAACGGAGCAGCGCTGTTGTGAAGTATGTTACTGAGCACAGACGCGGTAACTCGTGTCCTGATTAGGATCAGTATTATTATTACAAATCTTGTGAAACCTGTTTTATGGGCTTTCTGAAAATACCCTTATGAAGGAAATCGAATGTGATAGTTGAGCGAACTGGCTGATGGAAGTTGTTTTCATTTCTGTAGAGACATCAGTATAAACTTTCCACACATTCTCATATCTTACAGCATCCCAAATATATGTTTACATTCGTACATAATATGCACAACGGGTGTTGTAGTATGGTCTCAGTGTGTAACCTGCTAGGCATAAGAAAGTATGCACCCTAGACTAACAACTAGTCTCTGAAATGAACATATTTTACCCAAAAATGTTCATAGTGAAAAAAAAAAAAAAACAAAAGCCCTGAGACTTTCTTCTTCCAGCTGTGGAAATCTAGACTTGCCACATTTTCGAGACTTGCGTGGGCTTTCTTGGATATATTTGCTTCAGGGTCTGTACGACAGGCTATATGCACCCATGTGAATGGTGGCTAAAACAAACAAACGTTATTCGATAGGGTTGTGATTTGATGTATTGGGATATTTGCATGCATCTTCAGGTTCAAATGCACCTGTCACCCGTCGTAATTAATATGTTTTCATTGAAGTCACGTTCGCTCAAAATGGTCGGACATGTATAGTAGTGAAGCATCTAATGCTAATACCCTGAACTCAACCTTTGCTGTGGTTTATGAGCAATAGGGCGGCGTCGGAAGGCGAGGCGTGTTGTGGAGCGACCCCGACACAGTCGCTGTGAGGAGATTTGAGACAGAGAAAAGCGCATTTAGGACGAGCTCAACAAGTACCTGTATACCTTCAATGTGACGCTACATGCTTCACCACAGCTGTAAAGGTTATTGTCTAACCCAGCTCAGACTGTGAGGCTTGACGTGTCGACTGCAGTCATTGGGCCATCGATTTGCCGCGGAATTCCGGCGAAGCAGACGATAACAATTTCAGGTTGGGGGTTTGTGTCAGGGAAACCGTAAGCATGGCCGACGAGACACCGCCAGAGGACCATACATTATGGAGCACCGTTTCGTGGCTCAGGTAACACTTGTTTAATGTCACATGGAGAGCAGAGATCATTTACCTTCCTCATAGTTCTGTGATAGCTAGACGTACCACAGCTCCAGGTCGTTATGAACCTACAGCTGTATACACTCTTACCTGACTGTCCTAACCAGAGATTGAGATGGGGGTGGTTATTCACCCTAAATCATGACAACTGGTCAGTTCACTTGAATATACGATGACACTGAAATGTCGTTGTCATCTGTATTCAGCTAATTTATCCCCGTTCTCATCACGAACGCAAACCTGTGTTGTTGCCCTCTGGCAGTCGCCATGACTGTTATTCCGTATGTTTATATTGATCTCAATCTGACGTCCAGGGAAGGCTAACTCTGGCATGTACTGGCCTAGGATACCTACACCATCGTATTGCCTGAAATGACATTATATTTACCTATCCTGTTCATGTATCAAGGTTGTGTTATTGTCATCAGTAACACATCTATACTCATCCCCTGCATGATAATGTTTGGAAAATAAGTCGCTTTCGATTCTGTTTCATTGTGTTTGCCATTCGTTTATATGTGATTTATTGTAGTTTGTTCTTGTCAACTGTCGCCTCGTCACCCCAGGTTCATGACTTACTCAGTCGGATCAGTTTACCGTTTAGATCTGTGTTAATGGAGTAAGTTGAGGAAATGTCCTGTATATTTCCTTATGTGTTTTTGTAGGCTTTCATCATAAACTGTTATATATCATCAAATTCAGTATGAGGTATGTGAATTTCCCTTCTGAAAACCTTGACACATGATTGAATACTGAATACTGTTAAACTTATCCTTTGTGTAAACATGAACACATTATTGAAGCATCGCGAATCCTTTCTTAATAAACTTTAACATCTAGGTATTGTGAAGCTCATCCTTTGTGTACACCCGTACTGGTTATTGCTGTTTTTAAGTTACATATTATGCCATCTGTTGTCAGAAAGGCAACCTAGTACATTGATGGTATCGTGTATTATAAACAGATGTGTGTTTGGGACAAAGCTTTATTCGTAATTATATATTGAGTAAACCAGATTTACAGCATCTACATCACATGACCTACATTAAAAATGTTCCAAACCATCGAAGCGTATCATATGTAGGACGTTTCAAAATAACAAGCTGCACTTTGTGTTTCTCGATTTTCTCACTGCTCCGATTAATATGATCAGAGATGTGAATTCATTTTCACAATTTACATTGTATACATTCAAGTGTACAGTACTGTATGCAGTACTGTGTACAGTACTGTGTCGAATCAAAACATGAAAGTGTTATATTCCTTATCAAAACATTGACGCCTGGGGCATAGTTTCCCATCTCAGTAACAGTACATTGGCCATGTAGACCTTTGTTGGAGAGGTATCTACAGGTCGCAGTGGTTCTGCATGGGTGACCTATAAACGTTTACCCCATTGATCCTAGCGGGGTTTGCCAGTCAATTGATCATGTGTTCCCAGCTTAAACTAGCGGACGGTGGTGTCTGGTCTTTCTCTTGTCGCGGTGTGTAGTTCACGTCCACCATTCAACTCACTGACGTCTCTATTTCACACTGTGGAAGGAGATCACTACTTCTAATTGACTGTATTTTCTCTGTTACAATATATATAGAAGTATATATTCAGTTGGAATAATTCATGCGTAGACAAGTGTATTTAAGTAACTCTTTCTTTGTAATAATATATGCAGAAATAAATATTTAACTGGAATAATTCATTCGTAGACAAATGTGTAAAAGTAACACGTATATGAAGCGGATTTGGGGTATAATTTCTTTAGAGAAATGAATACCATAGATCAAATATTTGACAGCCACCTTAAGACTGGAGGACAACCAACCTTCCTTTGTAAGGTGAAGAACATCTCCTGTAGAACCTCCTTTTTGATATATTTCCTCCAGGGAAAGAAAATATACATAACATATTTGATAGTCACGGAAGGACTGGAGTACCATGAAAACATGCAACCTTCTTTATTGCTTGTAAGAACGTTTCAAATCTACTTCATTCGTAAGATAGGGTGAAGGGGGGAAATAACCCAGTTGAATGGTAAGAGAAGTCGTCATGAAACGTCGAAGTGTAGTTGTACATAAACATGTTTCATGTCTTAATCATACATAAATATGAATAATGTAAGACTCAAATATTACAATGAAAAAGTGACACCTATAAGAGTAAAGAAAAACACGTTTGCAGTGTCCAGTATGCCAAACCTACTGTCTTAATCAAGTGCCATATCAACAATCCAGAATGACCCCACTGAAGGCTGCAAAGAAGAGGCCATCATCAGAGCCAGTCGTCCTTTTCAGGAGTTTTGTTATAAAGTGTTGAAAAGAGTTTATGAAAGTAGAACATAATAAGTTAAAGTATTGAGTAGAACACAGAGAAAGACAACAACAGGAAAATGCTCCTGTAATGAATGCAGTCTTAATTCTAGTTTTATTTACTAGATGTGAACATATTTATAATTCTATATCCTCCATTGCATTTATGTTTGAAGAGATAGTCGCTGACAGCTGGCTCATAATGTAAATATGGATTCAAACATAGGTGATATGTATGCTGAGTCAAGGTCAACGTGACATGACAAATTTCATTTATAACACTGAATATCTATTTGTAGTATGTTACGTATAACATTGGAAACAAATACACATGTATGGAGGATATAGGATAGTTATGGGTAACTCAATACCATGTGTAATGTGAAATGCCAGCTCCTACTGGATCGATGTGTTACAATACAGTGTATGAGATGAAAGGTGGAACCACATCGTTATTGACATGTACGCACATGCACTATGGAAATCCCACCAATCAATATGTATTCATTAAGTACAACATGCAACAAAAATACAGTTCGTAACAAGCATTGATTACTCGTTTGGCGTTGCTTGGAGGTTAGGGGCGGTAGGGTAGCCTAGTGGTTAAAGCGTTCGCTTGTCACGCTGAAGACCCGGGTTCGATTCCCCACATGGGTACAATGTGTGAAGCCCATTTCTGGTGCCGCCGTGATATTGCTGGAATATTGCTTAAAGCTGGAATATTGCTAAAAGCGGCGTAAAACGCACTCACTCACTGCTTGGATGTTAACCCTGCAGAATTCATAGGGTTGTTTGGTAGGCTCCTGTTGTTGACGTAAAGGTTGACTGTGTTGGTTGGTGTGATTCCCACTGTCCGACTAACCAACCCTATATGCGATACTGATGAATTGTCCAAGTGTACATCATTTACCTTTAGACTTAGAAGTGAGCATAATTGTTGATGTTTTCTTTGTCACACTTCACCAACACTGCATGGTCACTTTTTGTCCAAATATTCAAGAAGAGTAAAACGCTTGTACGTATAATAAAGAAGTTGTTATGCGTTATTATTATCATTGTCATGTTGACATTCTAAACTTCTAAATGCTCTCAGCTTAAGAATGATATGCAATATAAAACATGCAATAACAGGCAGGGGACCACAAGCCCAGTTCCTTTTAGTACCACCTATCTGACAGTGAGAGAGTATGGTTTTACGCCGCTTTTAGCAATGTTTTAGAGACATCACGGCTGGGGACACCTGAAAGGGACTTCACACATTGTACCCATGTGGGGAATAGAACCCGTGTCTTCAGCGAGATTGGCGGAAGCTTTAACCATTAGGCTACACTATCGCCTCAGCCCCAACATTCACATTGTTGTAATGACTGAGTGACTAAGTAAGACAGAATGTAAGTATGACGTTCTATTCTTCCTATAAACAGTAGTCCAGGAATGTTAGGTCAGAACCATCTTCCGTGTGATGACATAACTAATAATGTATACATTCAGGGACGGTGGGGTAGCCTAGTGGTTAAAGCGTTGGCTCGTCACGCCGAAGACCCGGGTTCGAATCCCCACAAGGGTACAATGTGTGAAGCCCATTTCTGGTGTTCCCCGCCGTGACGTTGCTGCAATATTGCTAAAAGCGGCGTAAAACCAAACTCAGTCAGTCAGTCAGTATACATTCACCCCAGGGCAGATCTACTTGTCCTTGTTCCACCGATAACAATGAAATATGTCAGGGAGGTGACAGTGGATCTATAACCCGTTCTTAACACAGGTCTGGGGAGTGTCGGGGCTATTTCGGGGAAGGCTCCTGACATATTTCGTCCCATGGAAAACAATCAATAATCATCGTATGCACACACCCTTCTGGATCCTTATATGAAGTGATTGAAATAGTTGGTGTGTATCAATAAGTATGTATGTATTAATGGGTATCACAAAACTTCATAAGTTCTTGAAAAAATAGAATCTATAAATTTCAATAAAATATTTAAAGAACATTGATAATCCCCTGAAAAGATCGTGGGTATCACTTTCATAATGCGTATGAACGTAATAACTGTAAGAGAGATTTATCGCTATGTCATAATACCAGTATTACTAAGGCCCAGCAAGCCACTTACACGGCAGTCTACACCGCCCAATTATTTTGAAATATTCAAACAACGGTGTGATGTATTTCTGACAAAACATTTTGATACGTCACATTCGGTAAATTCCGCCAAATGTCGTCACAATGGGATTTGTCGGGGTGGGTGGGTCTTTGTTCCGAAAACTTCCATATATGGAATACGCATATCCGGTAGATGTCCCACTTTCACCTCTTGAAAAATCGTCACTTCACCTACTCACCGACTGCGCAAGTGTTTTATTATAAGGCTTACAAGCTGTAGCAAACTATCATTTTGGAGGGAAAGGAATTTCAATATACCTTCATCAAGCCACTCAAAACTGTTAGATGAAAACAATTTGAAAGTGCAGTCGTTACTTTACAATGCTATCCTCTCGCTTTACATCGAGATGATACGACATGGATGGTTGACCTAACACCTGTAGGCTCAGCCCGGCTTGTGTACATGGCGATTTAGCCAATCAGATGACAGTATTTTGTACATAGACCAAACATACGTATGCACATGACAGGACCGGTATAAATGAATAGCCCTGCCGAACCCCTTTGAATTATCACAAGGAAAGTGAAGTCCTCATGTCACTGAGGAATATCACCAACGCTTACGGTCGGCCACTGTCGTATCCCTCTGGGACCCCGGATATTTCCAGGTATGTCATAGTTATGTGTTTAGTAGCTATATATCACATGGGATGTGTAGTCGAGTGTCCTGTGACAGCTCTTGTAACTCGCTCACTGTTTTATGCAGTGTTAACGAGACATCCTAATGCTGTACTGTCAAACTTCACCGAACATCCTAATACGATACTGTCCAACTACACTGGACATCCTGATGCGATACGGTCTAACTACACTGGACATCCTAACGATACGGTCTAACTACACTTGACATCCTAACGATACTGTCTAACTATTCTGGACACTCCAATACGATACTGTCTAACTATTCTGCACATCCTAACGCCATAACGATTGCTAGATGTGTATGTGTTTTGTTGCAAAATGATATGAACACGAAAAATGAAATTCAGTTTTATTCAGTTTTCATACATAATGATATTCAGATCAAGTTGATAAGTGTTTTGTACGTTCTCAGATTCCACACTACCCTGTGAATGTCCCTTGTCCCTGTATGTGTACGTCTCTGTTAAAACATTTGATTACCTGCACAAGGCTATATCACTCTGTAGATAATGAGGAGGTACATCGCCATGTCACTGTTGTGAAGGTTTGGTACAGCGAAACAATCTGCTAATATCAAAAGACTGATGACTTCATAACAGTTTTTTTCTGAACAGTTAAATTTAGTTATCATTCAAGTTTCTCTGACTCTTGTATCTAAGTGGCAGAACCTGTTTGAATATACTATATATGTCTCTTTATACAAAACGAGGTAGAATTAACTGACACTAGACAACACATATTCAAAAGTTGTTCCTGAGGAATTTCCTCTTTCTGTCTGGCTGGTTTTGTTCTATTTCAAACTCGTCTGCGTGAAATGTCCTCCAGCTGAAAGACATACCTCAGCCCACAGACACCATATCTACAGACGTTATCCTAGGTTCTTTTGTTAGGTTCTTTTGTTAGTCTGCGCAAATTTATGCAGATATTCAGATTCGTAACAATCTCAGAGAAGCCTTTTGTGTGGATACTTCAATGTGTTGAATTAATATTGAATGGGGTAAAATGACACAGAGGTAATACACATACAAATGCCTCAAGCAACAGCTCCAAACGTGTTCACATACAATACACCAATGGTTATCATATATGTGCCAATGTTGCGACCTGTTGGTCAGTCTCGAGACACGACTGCACGTGTAAAGGAGATCGCAGGTTGAGCAGTGAAATCTCTGGTAAGACTCATGATTAATCAGTATTATTTTGTACTGCAACGAGAGACACTAAGTAACATTGGTAGTATGCTTAGCTGATATTTCGTATGATTATGGCAGTATTTTTTCGCTCATATTTAATAGACTTTTCTGAGGACACATACAGAACATGTTATTGATAGATAACTTCAATGTGACCACGTGCACACTCTCCCTTGACAAACGTTTCAACGCAAACTCATCTTAGTAAATACTCGTCGCAATGAGCAGCTTTCAAACATCACCACACCACACATCATTAACCTGCAAGGCGGCTTCTCTCACATATGCCCCCAAGATGAAGACAAACAGATGAAGCAGTTTGACTACTCTAGCCACACACACAGGGCTGTCTTCAACCCATACGTTGCCCAGGTAATCTCAGTCGGACCTGTACCAGTAGAAACTGAGATAGTCTAGTGTTTGTCGTGAGATTCAGTGCTTGAAAAAGTCTACTCAGTGTTTATATCTTGTTGGTTCATTTGAGTCAATTAGATTAAACTGAAAACTGAACTTAAGTTTATCTGTGTTGGGTTACTGTGTTTTTCATCCTGGTACGAGTCCACTAGGGGTAGTATGGCATTTTATATATTTGTTTCAACTAACCTTTAAGGATTGTGTTGTTTTCATCACAAAAATAAATTCATTTAATAGTAACTGTAGCAGAAGGAGAAGTTGAATCGTATTTATTTAATATTCAAACGTATTTAGAAATTATTGTTTTAGCAAAATATTTTGATTGACTTCAAAGTGTATATTTTAACTAGAATACTGTGATTCTACGTACAGCGTCAGGATATACCAGACGAAACACATGTGGGATGTCCACATATTTGTTTAAACTAACAAACCTACACTAACTCATTGTTTGTTATTCAAGGATGGTTATCCTAGTAAGGGAGCGCCCTTTCAGATATTTTAATGGTTACGAGGCTGACAAAGCATTTAATGGTGTTGTCCCTGGTTGATGATAACAATTTATGTTTATAATCTCGCCTGATCCATATCCACTTAAATACTGTCATCATGGGATGATTGAAGACGTCACGAGTGGAAGACACGCGCTACTTATTTCTCCATACTTATTTCAAAACACAAGACGTTTGATCCATACACATCTGGGCTCATTCAGTGCTGTTCTGGACTAAATAATCAAACAAGATATTTAAAATGTTCGGAATATGTTAATTCCGTTGATAAAATGATGACAAGTTGAACTGCTTATAAGAGTGAACACGGTCATGATGTAGTATTCCATTTTCCCTACCATGGTAACACGATGTGGTTGTCAAGCACTTGTCCCCTGCATCGTTTGCACTCGTTGAAACTATCACACAAAATCGCTCAAGCAGAAAAGTCAGAGGCCTATATCCAGAAACTCATACATTTCTTGTACGTGAGATGAGTTCTGTATAATTTCTGTATGTGGTATAAATATTGAAACTTTTACTGCTGAAAAGAACGCTTTTTATGGCATTGGTGGGGCTTCTCTCACATGAAAAGACCATATTCATTGCTACTATAGGTTCCCAGGCACATTGTGTCGTACCTCACTGAACATATTGGGGATATTAACAAGGCTTATACACATATGACTAGGTCGATTTATGACTACTTCTACTGACCTACATTTCTTTATACCCTCCTTTGTTGCGTGAAGGTTCTTGCTGCGTTAATGAGATATCCATTGTTGCCTTCGGTCATTTAAAAATATATCGGTTAACGTTTACTCAGGAAAGACTAGCGGAGAATCATTTTTTTATTTTCTTTCTTGAATCTAAATATTTTTACTGTGCCTAAAACACGTTCACATCTTTACTATTTTCGAATTGAAACAAAGCAACCACGACAAATGAATTCATAGTTCTATGGGCATTATCCTGGTTTAGGTAATAGTTTTACACTGGTTTGTGTGTGGCCATAACGCTATAAAACTGAGAGGTACTTAGGAATAGCGGGGGGTTTACAACTGACCCACTGGACAACCACTTTATACATAAACCTCGTTATAAAAGGAATTACGATATCTACAACGAGTACCTTTACTGGATAAGCTTGTTAAACGGGATCAGCCGAAATGTCTGGTGACTTTTGATGTGGTTTCATGTATGTACATGTAGATATTCACAGTACAAATCATGTGATTGTATGTTTCTGGTATGGATTTTGACAGTACCACCACTCTTTTACAACTTTAAGGTTTGAAACTGCTTAGAGTGTTTTTAGAATTTCTGAATGTATCGTCATAGAATAAGGGCTATGGAGCTATCAAACAACAGCTGGTTGGTCGACATATTTCCCCATCAACGATTGCCACATTTACATGTGTACAAAGCAACCCAACAGGAATGACCTGTTGCGCTGTCATTCAACCATGATGCTGAATCAGTATTTCCTTCAGTAGAAAAAAAACAGTTTGTGCAGGATGGAACGGTGTGTAGCCATTCTGTTCCCATTTCACATTCTGTTGGTGGATTAATTTTAAAAAGCATCCACATATAAATTCTAAAATGTCAATATTGGTTTCAGAACGAGACGAGACGCTATTCCGGCAATTCCCCCGTCAAGGCCACAGTTACCAGACTTTAGCGCCATGATGTCAGACGCACCGACAACCGGGGACACCGCCGATAGTGCCAAGCTTGAAGAGAAGCTGAAACAGTTTGAAAAGGAGGAGATGGAGAGAAAAGGTAAGAGGATTTAAGGGTTTTCCGATGTGATCAGGTCATGTGGAAGTTGGGTATACTTTGAATTCAATTACTACCAACAAAATTACTCATTTTGAACAGTACTAACACCATAAAATGTTTTGCTTTAATACGAGTTTGAAAAGGAGGTTTGTCTCGGGTCATCAGTTCATTCAAACTGGATATGTAACTGCAAAAGGAACAGGACATACGGAACATGCATACTAAAGTTTTACCATAATATATCCTGTAACATATTGGGGTAGCCTAATGGTTAAAGCGTTGGCTCGTCACGCCGAAGACCCGGGTTCGAATCCCCACATGGGTACAATGTGTGAAGCCCATTTCTGGTGTTCCCCGCCGTGATGTTGCTGGAATATTGCTAAAAGCGGCGTAAAACCAAACTCAGTCAGTCAGTCAGTGTTTCTCTCTCGATTAATCATAAACGTTTCTTTTGGATTACCATTACGCAAGAAAGTAGCGAAATTCAATATTTAACCGAACAAGAGTTGACTCAAAGATTTGTGCTTGCTAAGGACAAATAAACTCAATTGTTTAAACAGAAGGTAACAGTATATATACAAATTCAAGTAACGACTCAAATTGCATTATTCAAGTAACGACTCAGGTCAAATACCAATGAGGAATGTTTTGTCCAGCAAAATGTAACTGTACCAGACATGTTTATGTACGCAGACAAGATATCTTGTAGTCGTCATTTCTACGTCGTATTCGTTACGACCCCACACTTACGAACCAGTGAGCAAGATGTAATTTAAAAACGACCGTCCTCTTCGTGTTAAATTTGCTTCAGGTGAAAGCTCAAAGCAATGCTGTTTACTTGTGGCGGGAATGCGTAACCTATATATTTAGCTGAATGTTTACCGTTTAAACATAGGCTGCCCTTTGAGGACTTAATTGCAGGGAATAGGGTTTACTTGAAAAGAGTATTTCTGAGTCTGTGACTTCTGAAACATTAACTCTGCAGAGCTTGAGATACCTACCACCACCACGTCCCTTTTAGGAGAATGACTGACTGACTGACTGAGTTTGGTTTAACCCCGCTTTTAGCAATATTCCAGCAACATCACGGCGGGGGACACCAGAAATGGGCTTAACACATTGTGCCCATGTGGGGATTCGAACCTGGGTCTTCGGCGTGACGAGCCAACGCTTTAACCAATAGGCTACCCCACCGCCCCTTTAAGAGAATGAGACGGAAATAAACAAACAGAACAAACCTAGTGCACACGTCAAGATGACTTATGGTGACCAAATATCTTGCGATATCATTCTAACAATGGTACATGTAATAAATGTTTACCTCAACCCATGCCTCAAACTATGTTTTTACAAATGTTGTCTAATCTTATATATTCTTTTCACAACAGAGCGAAACCAGGCGCTGCAAGAACAACAGGAGCAAAATGAGGAAGTTTCATGTCCAAACAGATTTCGGGATAAGAGGAGGAAGAATATTATATTTGACGAAGAGAGATTTGAGGACACCTTCCTCAAATGTCTTATCTGTCGAGAGAATTTTGACATGGATGAAAAGATGCCCAAAATGCTTCCTTGTCACCACACATTTTGCCTGGATTGTCTGCGTCAGATGTGGCGAGTGGAAGGGGAGTTTCGACAGACCTTAACATCAGCCTTCAGAGGTATGCCAATGGCGGTGAAGATTCAGTGTCCAACTTGCAGAGACGGCCTGATCACGTCAGAAGCTGAAGTGAAGCGTCTCCCAAATGATCACACCATCATGGAACTACTGGCCTTCATGAAGGAAACAGGCCGAAGTGATGTTCAATACTGCTCTAAGCATCAAATGCAGCCACTCAACTTCTTCTGTGAGCCTTGTATTATCCCTGTGTGTTGTGACTGTACCGTGATCGACCACAAAGAGTCCAAAGGACATATTGTCGTCAATGTAAACGAAGCCATGGATAAATATACGCCAATCCTGGAGAGTACCATGGAAGAAATACAGACTGAGAAAGGTTCTCTCGAAACCAAGAAGGAAACATTAATGAAGAGCGCGGAGAAACTTGACTCGACACAAAAGGATGTCAACGATAAGATCAAGGATGCGTTTATTCGTCTCCGTGAAACGATTGATGAGCGTGAACGAGAGCTGTACGAGATGACAGAAAGAGAAGTTGGGAGGAAGAGGGAGAAGCTACAAGAGAACATGAAGGTTGTTATAGAACGAGACGAGACTCTGAAGAATCAACTCAAATCTCTATCTAATGCCAAGGAAGAGAAGGATATAAGCTGCATGTTTTCAGGTCACAAGGCAGCGAGAGATGTGCTGTCTCAGAAGGTCGAAGTTGTGATTGATTCGATGGACAATTTTGCGGTGGAGTTCAGCTGTGATGACCGCCAAGAAAGGAACATTCGACAAGAGGTGACCAATCTTGCGGATATTGTGTTTCAAGATTAACCCGTGGACTTAAACCAGACCAGGTGCTCTAATACGCAAGTGACAGTTGTTTGTACAGAAGTGGTAGGCTGTGTTAATTCACATAGTATTCGGGAAACTCTAAACGTTGAGGACAGATGTACGTCTCCTCTCTTTTCGAGCATTTTGAGAGAAAGGCAATGCTAGTTTAATTTGTCATAAAGTGTTCCGAAGACTGTTACAAGGGCTTGAGAACATTACGAATTAAAAACCGTAAATATGTAAATGTTAGAGTTGGCAATATGTTACTGTCTCTTACCGAGGAAACCACATAAATATTCATTTCAGAAGCTGCCATCGACGGCATAGGAAATATTTCAATCACTATCAAAACCATTTTCCCGTTCACATTGATGTATTCTTCTACTAATTCAACTTTTGGTTTGAATAATATGATGAGCAGGTGAAGTATGTTTGCCTTATTGCCTATCAATTTACCTCATTTAGTAGAATTGTTCGATAAAAATATGTGTGCTAAATACTGTAAATTCTTGCCGTAGGATAGTCTTTGTTTTAACAGTCATCAGGAAACATCATTCAATAATTTCAATAACTTGTTAATTCAGATATGTTATTGTATAGTTTATATCGTTTCAGTCACTCTTATGTTTATTTACCGTGTACAGCTATCTTGAACTTTCCTCCTCCATCTCACACTCTATGTGACTGTCCTATATGTGCTCTGTATACATTGCTCAGAGGAGTCTCATTGTTTTATCAGCATCTGTTTTATGTATTGTTGCATAAGAATATTTTTCAAGCGTTAGCTTACTGGTTTCTTAAATTTGTTAATTTGTTCAGATTTTGTTTCAGTGTCACACTAGTGAGTTGTTTTACGTCGCGTCGGCGTTGTGTAAGTCATATAGCGATGTCATTTTAGTGTTATCGGAAGTAAACATATTTTGTCAGATTTCCAACACATGGCATTTTATAATAGAGCTAGTGGGAGTAAAATGTGTATGTGATAACAACATTGCATCTAGTGAGCAGGTATTTTGCTTCAACGGTAACAAAGATTCCACATAATTCATACCATTTCCGTGTGATGTTATTGTGAGCTCATTCGTAGCGGGTTTAAGGCAATAGGAGTCATCCGTTCATTCCACACGCTAAAAATGGCTCGAACAGAACAATTGGTCGGCATGTTTATTCATATGTTTTAAAACTCAATATTAAGCTTTGATTGTTGTGTACTTTCAGGATTAATGTTACGCATAAAGAAGGTATTTATTTATTAAAATCAATTTTCGTCGGGTGATAGTTCTAAGACATACATATCTGCTATGTAACAGCAGTATATCAGCTTAAATCACCACTTAGGATACAGAATGTAAGGTTTAATAAGGATAATGCTGATGCAGCTTTGTATTATATATTATATATTGCCGCTATTTCTGTGATCTCGAGCCAGTTTTGAGGATGTTTTACATTCTGTTTGGTATATACGACCTATATGTACATTTATATAAGTATTGTACTCATCGCTGTTTGAGTACTGAAATAAAATTATAAAACACAACTGTGTATTTTGTTATCATCAAATCGATCCTCGTGCATCAACATGAGTGATGTTTACAGAAGGAATGAGTACTCCTTAATACTTATAGAAAACACCGCTAAAATATAGATGGAGTTTTCGCACTTTAAATCTTTACTGAATAGAGTTATCAAGGCAAGCGAAAGCCCCACACAAATGGATCTTTTCATGGAGAATTTTGTTGTTTAGTGAAGACCCTAGTTAAATCAAATTCAATACTGGCAAGGAGATACAAACTTTGACAGGCAGATGTATGGGTAGGGCCAGAACAGCACTCATAATAAACACGTTCCTACATATTCAAAAGTAACACTTTTATGACCTTATTTCAAATTCAAACCAACAGTGGAGTATTCACTGTCGCCAGCCAGCTGGATCCGTTGTTATCAGCTCCTCAAACAGGTTCTGGGGCTGTGTACGTTACTCACCCATTCTAGCAAAACCCAGCGTGGTATGTTTGTTTAGCCGCACTAAACACGCTTGAAATAACATGGGGAGTGTCGAAGTGAATTCAGTCATCTCGGATTAACTTGAGGTTCAGCTGTTCTAACACATCACCTTAATCAGAGGTTCACTGACAGACTATGTACCATCTGTACACGTTATCTAATGTATGTATGACGGTATCCATGGTTACAATAGTCACCAGGAAACCAGGAAACAATATACTGTGAGTTATTTGACAAAACAATACACAAACATGACAGTTGGATAGACCGGAAGGTGAAATTAAAAAGGAACAATGTACTTCGTGTCAGTGAATACAGACTTCCCAGTATATTCCATTATATACAGTAGTACAGCCTGGGTTGTACGGGTAATGATGTGTTAGCGCTTTGAGCATGCACAAGCGTGTGGAAACCGGCGCTTTGTAAATAACCATTATTATTTTATTATTAATCATCTTAGCTTGGAGTCAACGACAAGATATATTAATGAACTATGAATCATTTTGACTATTAAATCACGTAAAGTTGAGGATCATAAATGGTAATGTGTAACGAACCTTTTCAGTAAAACATCCCTTGAAAGATAGATCCAGTCTGTATAATTGTGGAAGATTTTCTAATTTCTACGGTACTAAGATCACTACATAAACAGCCAAAAACACACACACACTCTTGTGGGAAGCACTTCTTATAACACATGCAATATTTAACTGAGAAATTGTCTGTTCAACTTCGACATAACAATGGTGATGAATGGACACTGTTTATGTTTTAAAACGTAAACTTTTAGAATGGAATCTATATTATGAATCTAGTCACATCCAAAGGGCATAACAAATTTAATTTTAATCAGCTCCAACTTGGTTGAAATTATCTTCTTATTTGAAGAGGGAGATAGTGTTGTCTTTCTTAACTCTTGGCAATGTTATGAGAGTATCGCCAGAAGTCGACTTTAGACGTCGTACCCAGTGTATATAAGAAGGAATACTAGGTACAAGATATCGCCAGAAATGGGCTTCACACCTTGTACAGAGTTTATATAAGAAAGAACAATATTTGCCCGACAGACCGTTGTAAAAGCTTAAGGTATATATCCCTTACTCCGTCGACACAATATTTATGTGCAGAAGAAGAACAGAGAGAGAAGAAAACAAGCTAAAAGTATGAAGGTGATAAGGAGGTTCGTCAAGAAACTATATAGAATATACCTCCAGAGATGAACGCTCAAAGAAAACCTTCAACCCATATGAAACTGAAACGATTTTTTTGTTCTCTGTCGTTTTTTATCCAAATGTCTGCGTATTCTTGTAAGAGTATGCAAATATCAAGCCTTTTTAAGTTTCATTACCTGATTTTTAGAAACTTTCCAGTAGTCCCCCCCCAATGTTACCAAAATAGTAATAGGCATAATGAAATTTTTAATAATATTATGACAGATAAGAAATCCCATGTGAGATATCCACATCGCGTGCAGTATCAAAACATAGGTATTTTCTCTGACGATGTATTTGTTCAACCTAGATGTAGACGACCTGTGCATCTTCCAGTCTGCTGCAAAACGGAATGCTTCTCACGTGAAGTGAGATCAATCAAATGAGAGTCCTCCTCGGGGTCACCGCAACTTTCCTTTTCATCTACCATTAACCTTTTCACTGCTACGGCAACACATAGATACACGAACAGTTTCTTTTACCACTGTGAGTGAGTTTAGTTTTACGCCGCTTTTAGCAATATTCCAGCAATATCACACTTTAACCATCTGTCTACCCACCGCCCCTGTTCCAACTACATGAACATTATCAATAATTTAGGTTCGTTATTTACCTGTTATGTTACATACATTGTGTACGTACATGAATTCTCAAAGGTCATTGAAATACACACAGGGTGCAGTGTATTGCTAAGCGTGAGTGAGTGAGGAAGTTTGCTTTTTCGCCACTTTTAATAAGCGTCCAAGCTTAAAGCCAGGACAGGATACCAGGAAATGGTTTCACACATTCCACTCATGTGTCGAATCGAACCTGGTCCTTCAACACTACAAGTCATGGCTTTAATCAGTACGTATAATGTTTACGCTGTTTCGGAATCTAATCTTCTGAACTCATTAACAAATACAAGGTATTATTTGACTTTGTTTCAAGCTGAATCTTTTCTATAGGTATGGGGGCAGTGGGGGTAGCCTCTGGGTTAAAGCGTCCTCTCGTCACGCTGAAGACCCGGGTTCGATTCCCATCATGCGTACAATGTGATGAAGCCCATTTCTTGTGTACCGCGCCGTGAATATTACTAAGAGCGACGTAAAGCCTCACTCACTCTAACGGTATGAAGTTACGTTACTGTGTGCGTGAGTTCCTTGTAAGGTAAAGGGTTAACAACCAAGATGTCGAAAAACATACAAAACGCGACACAGCCGTCAGTGTCTGTAGAATATCGCAGTGGTTTAATAGCATTCCCACTCAAACTTTAATGATTTCCATTCAGAATACAGAATATGTAGTACCTTATAGGAAGATGGAGAAAAAAGTCGAATATGTCAGTGCCAATATCCCTAGTCATAAAAGATATGTCATCTCTTCCTGTATAGAATAATCAATAAAGGCTGTTGCATCAAATGTAAGAACGCTGGATGTGAGGAAAGTATGTACACTACGTCCGTATATTATTGATTACATGCTTGCATATGGACCTTATGTAAACATGTATATATTGAGCACATAATACACTCGGCTTCCTTACGAATAGATAATTCCCTAAAATGTATATTCAGCGAGTTATATACAATGGACTGAAATGACTCTACTACACATACAGTATGTATGCAATAAACATACTGAAATTGTTTAGAGTATCCAGTGAGTTTGTAGAAATAAGAATATTGGTCCGTAACTGATATTGCAGTTATTCGCGTTCGCAGTTGTATTTCTTTTTGGGGGTGTGGGGTGTGTCGAAAGGGGATCCTAAGGGCATAGTGCACATGTCACAAATCAGATACTGCTGGAATATTGCTAAAAGCGGCGTAAAACTAAAGTCACTCACTCACTCACTAACATAATACAGTACATCCTTCAGTTGGATAAAATGTCACAACAAACCGGGAAAATGGTGAGATCACGGCCAGATAATAGAGCACGCGATGTCTAGCTGAGGCAAGAACGCACAGACAAAGCTTATGGGGTTATTGGGAGAGACACAAATAGATCTGACATAAGCATATAGGTGACATCATGTTAAACCGTTGTCTCGTGAAAGGAGCTGCTGACACGACCCTCCACCGTGGATGAATGACGTCACCTCACGTGCCAGGACTGTCAGCATAGATTGGCAGCTGGTGCACTGCCAGAGAAAGTAGAATCTTTATAAATAATTATATACAGTAGATATACAAGGTACTGTTGTTAAATTTGATTGTGTCAATAATCATCTCTCTTCCATGCTACAGTTTGTAAAAAGTGAATTTCGTTTGGTAAGTTTGTATAAAACTGTATTGGTTCGTTGAAGACTAATGAGACATATAGCTACAAACGCAAACCCCTGTCATGTTTGACAGGGACGCTTCCATCAATAAAGGCAAATGTAATGTTTTTCAAGTATACCATATCCAAAATATCTATGATCAGTCGTGCATTCCACGATTCTTTTTAAATGTAAAAAAGTTTCAAATTAAGAGTTGAAAAATCTTACCATGCTGCACAGGTATTGTATGAGTTCAATCAATCAATCTTTATTTACAGTACTGAAGAGGTCGTAGGCCTATAGTACATTTAACATACAATAGCAGATGGTGCAATATAAATGAATACATGTATATAGTAAATAATATCACATCTGTAATGCAGAGGATCTCATATTCATGGCATGGAATATATACATTGCAAGGTATTTTGTGGCTGTTTGATTTTGGGATGCCATGAGGGTATAGAATTTATGTGTTGTTATGTGGTGTTCTGTACCTGGTACGTGTTGTTGTTTGCAGTTTCACCTGTCCGGGACAACCAGATATCGTTACTTGTTCAAAATGAGTCTTAAACACATTCTTATGTTTTAATGTGTATCTACAATGCTTTGTGCTATCAGTAGAGATTTCTCATGATTGTTAAAAACAAAATCTATCGCTATTAAATATGTTTAATATGACTATTGAATTGGTTTTGTCCGTTTTATGTTTCTTTGGCCAGTATTTAGTTTGTATCACAGGTTTAAACTTCACGTTGAAAATCAGAGTGATTTTGTTTTTTGCAGGTTTTGGACGATACCACTTAACCCACGGACACGGCTTGACACGTTAGAAACATCATCAGGGCAAATTAGGATTCCAATCCACGATCACAGGTTCCTGGCATGCCCAAGGGCGGTCACTCTGTACAGCGAAATGTGGCGCCAGAGCTGACTTACGTCCCCGTGCCAACGTGAAAGAGAACAGAGCCAATCATTGCTTGAACTATCATCTACTTCTATGGGAATAAATCCCTAGACTGGAATTTTCTTCAGAGAACAAACGGAGTTGCATCCCTTTTTTACTTATCTCGAATAGTT